GGTTTGGGGTGGTTGCGAGTGGGGGGGGGGGGGGACGTGCAGATCTGTCCTCGCAGAGGAGGGAGAGCTTGTACCTGAAGGCTGGCTGGGCGGGGCTCTGCAACATACCTGGCTGTTTCTTGCTCCTCGTGGCCCAACTGAGGGCTGCTGGGAGCAGGGGGTGGGGCTTGTTGCATGTGCCCGCCCCCTGGGCTCCTTACTGCCGGAGCTCCGCTCCTGTGCGCTCCCGCAGGAAATGACCCCTGTTCATATCTGAAGAAGTCTGCATGCACATGAAAGCTTATACCCAGAATAAAACTGGACGCAAAACTTTGTCGTATGGTCAGTGTGACTGCCTAAATGCAGGCTATGTCTCCAAGGTACCCTGTAGACCCGGAACAGCCCCCATTTGCTGATACTGCTCCCTGGCGAAGCCGTCGCTCTGCTTTGCTCTTTGAGATGATGTCGACGACTCTTTTATACTGGGTAGGGGAAATCAACATCTATTCAGCAGAAGAAACATGGAAGGAATGGAGACAGATGCAGTTAGTTTATTTAGATGTTTATACCCTGCTTTTCTCCCCAGGGGAGACCCGCGGGGACTTGCAACCTCATTCTGAACTCAACTTTATCTTCACAGCAATCCTGGCCCCGGTCACACGGGCTGGAAAATGCGGGGGGGGGGGGGCGTGGCTGTTTACCCCGGAACAAAATAATGCGCAGTAGCCCAATCAGACATCCTGTCGAGGTCCCGTGGTTAGGCCGTTAGGTGCCGATCACACGGCTAGTCTGCAGCGCGGCAAAGAAGCAGCATGGTGCAATCACACCAACAATTGCGCCACGCCGCTTCCGTGGCAAACAGGATTTTTTTTGTCTCACCGAAGTTTGCGCATGTGCATGATTGTTTGTGCGCATCCTGTGGAGACTTTAAAAAAACCACATCCGGTTTGCAACGGGACATGGGCGGGCACCGGATGCCATGGGTTTCCAGCGGAAACGCGATCAGACGCCCGCCCTTGCCCCGCATTTCCCGGAAACTAGTACATCGTATGTGGTGGTTTTTTACTCCGCATCTTCGGCAACAAGCCACAGGTTAGCCACGGGTGCACTACGCTTCCCAGATGTTGCGGTGTGATCACGCCCGGAAAATCCACCTCCTATCATCCGTGTCTTCAGCGTGGCAACTTCTCCGTGTGAACAGGGCCCCTGTTAAGTAGATTAGGCTGGGAGAGAGTGACTGGCCCCCAGTCAGCCAGCAGCCTTCCATGGCCAAGGGGTGATCTGAACTGGGGTCTCCCTAGTCCAACACTCTAACCACTATACCGCACTACAGTATAAATACTTGCTAAACATAAACTAGTTTTTTCCTTGAACACCATGTTTGTTTCTGATGCTTGGATTCCGGCTGACTGGCATTTGCTTTTAGGATTTATAAGCTACTTTTCCTAGCACAAAGGAGGAGAAAAAACCTGCTTCGGATTTACCCTTCTGCAGCCGCAAGTTCAGTTAACCTCCCACTTAATTGCCGGCTGCTCTATTTACCCATGATCCAACGTTGACCTTAATTAACTCAGCACAATATGCTCCTGTGAGCATGTGTCTACTAACAAGCCCCTGCTAAATTAGCTGATTGCATTATCTAGTGTAAATTCATTACTGTGACACTCACCGGGGTGTATTGATGCCTGCAGAATTTCGAAAGACAAGTTCCTTACCAAAAAAATAAAAAAAGGAAAAATCTGAACCCTCAGCGTCAACAGCTTTCCAGCAGCACCAATTAAGAAAGAAACTGTTTCTCGAACGATTTTCAGGTCTGTGTGCCTATGCAGTCCTAAAGCTTGCTATTATAATACAAACCAAACTCACTCAGCACCAATTAAGAAAGAAACTGTTTCTCGAACGATTTTCAGGTCTGTGTGCCTTGCAGTCCCTAAAGCTTGCTATTATAATACAAACCAAACTCACTCAAGTACAACTTTTTGGTTGGACTCTAGGTAGCCTCCCCTTCAGAATGAAGGCCAGTTCATCACTGGCTAGCTGCAGGACAATAACAACAACTTGCATGTGTGAACAAGAATATCTCCAATCAAACATAACTAAGGCAGGGGATTACCCCCCCCCCAACAAACTCCTGTTGCCCAGTGAGATTTAAAAAAAACAAAACAAAAACCAGTTGCAATGTCATGTCACTTCTTGTAAAAAAAACCCCAAAGTGACATAGGTAGCTCTAGGAATCACTGGAAACTTTATGGTTTTACAATAGAGTTTCTGGCAATTCCTAGAGCTACCTCTATCGCTTCCATTTTTTACAGGAACTGATGTGACATTGCGGCAGTGTCACACCCGCACAGCTCCTCCCACAGCACTTCTGCTGGTTGTCTGGCAAAGCCTGGCGACCTAAACACAAGAGAGAGACCCGTCATGTTTATCTATCATGCTTATTTTCCATCGTTCCTTCAAGGAGCTCAAAGGGGCAAACATGGCTATCTGCTCTCCGTTTTATCCTCATAACAACCTTGTGAAGTAAGTTAGATTGTGAGTGACAAGCCCAGAGTGACAAGACCAGGGTCTCCCAGTAAATTTCATGACAGATATTTGAATCCAGGTCTTCCCAGCCTTGCTCGGACACTCCAACCTCTATATCACAATGGCTCTCTTATGCTGCCTGTTATCTCACCTGTAGCATCCAGCAGTGGAGACACTCCATACATTCGGCTATGAGCCATCCAGGGGTTCACATATGCACATCTGTCACTCAGTAGCTGCCACACTGAGAAACGAGTAGGTCATCATTGATCTAACACCATGAACCTTCACATTCCCACAGATTCAATGCTTCTCCATAAAGGCAACCAGGGCTATTTTTGGGCAGGAACGCACAGGAACGGAGTTCCCAAGTTGGCCACGCCCAGCAGGAACTCATTAGCATAATAGGCCACACCCAGCAGCAGGAACTCATTTGGATTGGCTACATTAGGGGTGTGTGGCCTAACATGCAAAGGAGTTCCTGCTACAAAAAAGCCCTGGGTTTGGACAACAAAGAAGGTAAACAGAATAAGAAGCAAAAGGTGGGTGTGGCTGGATGACCACACTTCTGGTAACGTGGGGTGTGGCCTAATATGCCAATGAGCTGTGCTGTCAGGGGTGTGGCCTAATATGCTAATGAGTTCCTGCTGTTGGGTGTGGCCCGTTATGCTAATGAGTTCCTGCTGGGCTTTTTCTACAAAAAAAGCCCTGAAGGCAACTCACGCATTCAGTGGGAATTACCAATTCATGGGATAAAAAGATGTGCATAGATGTATGAACTGGCCCATGGTCCATTTATTATTACAATACTTAGCTTGGTTCGATGGTGTCATGTTTAGGCAATTGCAAACGGCTTCCGAGATTTCCCCATCCCAAAAAGTATTATCGTGCTTCAGGCTCCTTTCCTAAAGGGGTGAATGGTTTCCACCGAAAAGTGTATTTGAGATGACATGAACGTCATGTTATGTTGATCCTGTGCGGGTGCAATTACCCACAAGGCTGTGGGCAGCCACTGTGGGCCCTCAAAGATACAGAATCCTCCTTTAGTCAACGAGTAACTGAACTGTGAAATTCGTTGCCAGTGGCTGCAGTAATGGCCCCGTGTACAGATAACTTTAAAACAGGGCTAGCCGGATCCATGGAGAAGAGGTCCATCAATGGCTACTAGCCATGGAGAATAAACTAAATGTCCTTATTCAGAGGCAAGAAACCTCTGAAACCCAGGGCTAGCAACGTAGGGATGGGCTTGGCCTCGATTCCCTGTTTGTTAGCCCTCCGGGGCAACTGGTTAACCAGTGTGAAGCAGAATTCTGGACTAGATGGACCACTGGTCTGATCTAGCAGGGCTCTTCTCATGGGATCATGATCATCTCTGGAGGCCCCTTTATACCGACCAAGATCCAACCCAGTCATCATAAGCAAACAAATCATACAACTTGCCCAGGTCTGTGGTTCCCCAGGGCCCCCGGAATCTTGTTCCCTGTAGTTACACCCCTACATGAATGAATAAGACATGGATGGGTACATAGATGTCTGTGTGCATAACTGAGCAAGGAATAAAAGGACTTACCCAAGGACACACCATCACCCACTATCAACTTAGGAGGGAGGCAGGCACGGCACCTCAGAGGCCATGCGCAACAATGCTCCAACCATGCGCAACAGTGCTCCAACCATGCGCAACAATGCTCCAACCTTTTGTCTTTTTCAGCTGAGGTGGCGGAAGAAATGGGCCAGGATCCGACCTTGCTCAACAGACTGGTGCAGTGGTGCGGTTCAAAAGACCACGCCGGAGTCTGCGGAGAAGCCAACCGATTGCTGGCATCACTCTTGCGTCACAGTCGATCTCCAGTATGGAAGGGTCTTGGGTGGGATGAGGATTTGAGCCTGGTGTAGAACCTCGCAAAGGTGGCTCCAGTAGAGTGCCCAGGCTACCCTCAGTGGCGGATTTGGACGAGGCCTTTTTCTCGGCTGCCATAGTGCAGTTCACAGATACACCCCTACCTCCCCAGCTAGCAGTCACCCAGTAGCTTTACTGGCAGAACAATTTATCCCACACCAGCCAATAAATAGTTTTACAGATGATGGGGTGGTGGTTGGGCTCCAAAGTAGACAGGCACATGTGAAATTTACTGCCACAGGACGTGCCAGCAGCTACAAGCATAAACAGCTTCCAGAGGGGATTGGAGAAACACAGGGCTATTTTGGGGCAGGAACGCACAGGAACGGAGTTCCGGCTGGCTCCTGAGTTGGCCACGCCCAGCAGGAACTCATTAGCATAATAGGCCACACCCAACAGCAGAAACTCATTAGGATAGGCTACATTAGGGGTGTGTGGCCTAACATGCAAAGGAGTTCCTGCTACAAAAAAAAAGGCCAGGGTTTTGACAACAAAGTAAACAGAATAAGAAGCAAAAGGTGGGTGTGGTTGGATGACCACACTTCTGGTAACATGTGGGGTGTGGCCTAATATGCTAATGAGCTGTGCTGTCATGGGTGTGGCCTTATATGCTAATGGATTTCTGCTGCTGGGTGTGGCCTATTATGCTAATGAGTTCCTGCCGGGCTTTTTCTACAAAAAAAGCCCTGGAGAAACATATGGAGCAGAGATCCATCAGTGGCTATTAGCCAGAATGTATAGATGGAACAATGTCTGGGGCAAGTGGGAGGGCTTCTGGAGTTCTGGTCCTGCTGGTGGACTTCCTGATGCCACCTGCGTTTGTGCCATGGTGTGACACAGCGTGTTGGACTGGGTGGGCCATTGGCCTGATCCAACATGGCTTCTCTTATGTTCTTATGTCTGGGGCAGTGAGGCTCTGTATTCTGAGTGCTTGGTGGGCAATAGTGGGAGGGCTTCTGGAGTTCTGGCCCTGCTGGTGGACCTCCTGATGGCACCTGCGTTTGTGCCATGGTGTGACACAGAGTGTTGGACTGGGTGGTGGGCCATTGGCCTGATCCAACATGGCTTCTCTTCTGCTCTTCACCCATTTTGTCATTTAATGCATATATATCCTTCCACTTATCTCCAATGGAGACCCACATCATATTACATCATCCCCCCCTTCCACTTTGTTAGGCTGAGACAGCACGACTGGTCCAGGGTCCCCCAGTGAGCTTCCATAGGACGTGTGGGGAGTCAAACCCCCTGCGACCATCTAATTATAATGCCACGTTAACACCTCCATGATCTGGCCTGTTTGCAGAGCTTGGCCCCACACTAGCCCTTCTGTTCCACAACCACCTTCTCGAAACTAGGTCCTGTGAACTTAGTAGGCTGTCTCGGGAGGAACTCACCGCAGCTTGCAAGGTGGGCCCTGAAAATCAAGCTTGCTTCCAGCTGGTTGCAACTAAGCAGAACCAGCGCAGTCTCTCACAGGCCAGGTTTAGCTCTTCGGTCCTTTGTGCTAAGGAGGTTTTTATGCCCTGCTTTTGTCTACCTTGGGTAGCTGCGGTGCTCAAGTGGTTAAGACGCTGAACTGCAGGCTGTGGAAGGTCGGTAGTTCAGCTGTTCGAGACCCAGGTTGCCGCATGACGGAGTGAGCTCCCGTCTCTAGTTCCAGCTCCTGCCAACCTAGCAGTTCGAAAGCAAGAAATTGCAAGTAGATAAATAGGTACCCCTTCAGTGGGAAGGCAACAGCGTTCCGTGCGCCTTGGTGTTTAGTCATGCCGGCCACATGACCACAGAAACGTCTTCAGACAGCGCCGGCTCTTCGGCTTGAAAATAGCGATGAGCACCGCAACCCTAGAGTCGGATTCGACTGGCTTTTGAGCAAGGGAAACCTTTACCTTTACCTTTGTCTACCTGAAGGAGTCTCAAAGTGGCGTACAATTCGCCTCTCCCCACAACAGACACCTTGTGGGGCTGAGAGAGTTTGAGAGAATGGTGACTGGCCCAAGGTCACCCAGAAGGCTTCATGCAGAGGAGTGGGGAATCAAGCCCAGATTATAGTCCACCTCTCTTTACCACTACACAACATTGGCTAAGCAAGATCCCCAAACTCAAACACCCCCCTAAATAACTGACCTTTCTTTGACCACCAGATACCTCCAGGGTGCCTAAATCCCACTGTTGTTTCCCCCACACATTCTGGAACCAAAAAGAACGGACACTTTGATGTTCATTCTTCCCAGCATATAGAATAAAATCCCATTTGGGCCCAAGACAAGAAAATGTGATCGGGAACCAGAGGCAAAATTATTTGAGCAAGAAATGTCACTTGAAGTCCATCTCAAGTGATATCTGTACAAAGAACTGTAATCCAGGAGTAACTTTCATCTCCGTTGCTGCCGGTTGTTGCCGGGGGCCAAGGGGAACTGGGGGGGGGGGCCA